CTGATTGCTGTGAGAGCTGTGATTGGTCACAGCTTGTCACATGGTACAAGGCTGTTGTGAATAGCCTTGTAATATGTGATCTCTGTGATCATTCACAGATTTTACTAGTAGTAAGCAATGATGTCAGAAGTGACATCTTGTTTACCACTGTTCATGTGATCACTGATTGGCCAATCAGTGATCACATGATCGGGACCTCACACAGGGGTCCCGTACAGCGATCGGTGTTCCGCTGTGTCCGTGGTGCACCGTGCTCCCAGGGTGCGCGCACAGGCTAAAATGGCAGGCGCCGTTTATGAACGGCAACCTGCCCCTGCACTGCTTCCGCCCGGCCATTTATATACATGGGCCGGACGGGAAATGGTTAAGCAAGTGTGAGACTTAACATCTTCACTACTTGCAATAGTTATTAGTGTCTCCTACATAGTATTAGTTTTTTAATTTAAAACTATTATTGAGTGTTTAATATTTAAAACTTGGAAGTAAAATTTCCACCATTCACAGCGTAGTTTGAGGTGGATGATTAGGTGCTACATTTCACCTTAAGTCACACTATTACCACCACTTCTGCCCAGAGCCCTTATTAAAAAAGTACTCGGCACTTCCTTCTGGTTTTTGCCAACCCAGTTGTCGACCAACTTGTAGCGGTGTATCCTTCTTTGGACACGTTTACCCCATTTCTGCACCCTAACCCATGACTACCCCACAAGGGAATACCCTAACTGGTGGCAATGGCAGAAACCAGGTGCAGGGGGAATCACCATAAAGGCTTAGGTAAAACATTTGCTCTGTCAATGGCATGGAAAGCACTCAAACCGCTTGGAGTGGAATTGCTTCCCTTGCACCAGAGAAGGACCCTATTTTAACATGGATTTCTGCTCCTGATATTATCTCTCTCTGGCACACAACAAGAAGTCTCTGACCATGGCAGATTTCCCTGAAACTATGTCAAAACTGCTTAGACAATGAATGGCCATAATTCAGCCATCACTGTTCTCCACTTCCACCTTAGCTACTAGAAGTGGAACGATCTCCCTTAGAAGAGATAGACCTGCAAAGCTTTGAAGAAGACACAGGTGGTGTTAGAGGAAGCCACGGAATATTTCTCTCAGCCTCCCAATCAACCTGATACTATGGCTTCACGCAGTATGCTTGCTAATATAGATACACTCACTTCTGCTGTTCTTGGTCTCATCAGGCCCTTCTGGATACTAAGTAACCTCCAAGTCTAAAGACATTTCCCTATTCATGAACAAATAGAATGGTGATTGGATTTCTCCTGAATAGGTTTTCACCCCTCTGAGAATCATTGCTGAACTACAGTCTATCCAAAAAAGTCCCCTCCCACTTTTTTGCATTAAAAAAAAAAAAAAATGTTTACCTATGTTAAACCGCTCTGGTCACGTGATCCTGCAGCTTTGCATAAGGGAGCGCATGACAATGGAAGTAAATTTAGGGAGCCATGAAATGTGCTGCAGCTGTGGGATCACATGACTGGAGTGGATTAAGAACAGTTAAATATGCAGATCTTTCTTTATACAGGTTAGGCAGGATATATTGTGCAATAGTGGTGCATTTATTTTTAACTGTTTTTTATCTTATGAGTATTTCAGTAATTCCAAAACGAATCTGTAATAGGCTCTTACTATCTGATACTCTTTTTTTTTTTTTTTTTTTTTTTTTTTTTTTTTTTTTTTTTTATTTTCTGTTGCATGCGTATATGCATTTCTGTTGCATGTACATATATAAAGTGTGTGTGTGTGTGTGTATGGGCTACTCTTAAGAGCTGTAATTCCTAAACCCTTCCTCCAATTTGGAAGTACATACACTCAAATTAAACCTGAGAGTGTGCACTTTTAGCCCATATCCATTATATAACTATCACTTGAATATGTTTTGGTAAATACCTGAAAAAAACTAAAATTGTGCCTGTGTCCAAATATATATGGACCCAACTGTGTGCGTATGTATAATTATATATATATATATATATATATATATATATATACACACACACTGTATATGTGTGTGTGTATATATGAATATATATATATATACACACTATATCCAGTTTGGGTTTGCACAATTTGGATTTGCCTGTGTCACACAGTCAGTTGCTCTAAAGCCTGGGGAACAGACCAGTCATCTCTGTGAGAGCTGCAAGGTTGGTGAAAGCTGTAAAACAGCATATGTCTTGTTTATTTTGTGGAACACTGTGCAGCACCTGTAAATAGACTTGTACGTAGCATGAATAAACCCAGCAATCTTTTGTCGCTACATCACTTGATTGGTATCTGTGCTTGAAAGTGTGCTTACTGCAGAGAACTTTGTACCTGCTACCAATCCCCAGCTTACAAAATATATATTATATATATGCGTGTGTGTTTTTTACCCATACTTTCTATGTTGTTAATCTTATGATTTTTATAAATCATAGTTTACATAATATTGTGTTTTGTTGTAGCCTTGATGAAAGGAGAGGTTTTTTTTTCTGGTCCCCAAAATGAGTTGGCTGTTATTTTTAATGTAAACATTAATTGGAGTTTTATCATTCGTCTTTCTGGTAACTCACTGAGTATCCACAGAAGGTTAGCCCTGTTGTGAGAAGTCTAACATAAGCAAATTAGTTCTCAGAATGTTTTGTCCTTTTTTTTCTATTTTGTATGAACTCCTATCGAAGTCCTAGCTCCTCTTGGATGCTTATTTCTTCATTACAGTATCTAAAATCCACAGCCTCTAACAGACTTTGTCTTGCCAACAGGGTCTCAAAAAGAACACCCTGCTTCCAAGTCCACTATTGCCAGGCAGATAGGACAACTCATTGTAAGAGCATACAGTCAGGTCCATAAATATTGGGACATCAACACAATTCTAACATTTTTGACTCTATACACCACCACAATGGATTTAAAATGAAATGATGTGCTTTAACTGCAGACTGTCAGCTTTAATTTGAGGGTATTTACATCCAAATCAGGTGAACGGTGTAGGAATTACAACAGTTTGCATATGTGCCTCCCACTTGTTAAGGGACCAAAAGTAATGGGACAGAATAATCAGAAATCAAACTTTCACTTTTTAATACTTGGTTGCAAATCCTTTGCAGTCAATTACAGCCTGAAGTCTGGAAAGCATAGACATCACCAGACGCTGGGTTTCATCCCTGGTGATGCTCTGCCAGGCCTCTACTGCAACTGTCTTCAGTTCTTGCTTGTTCTTGGGGCATTTTCCCTTCAGTTTTGTCTTCAGCAAGTGAAATGCATGCTCAATCGGATTCAGGTCAGGTGATTGACTTGGCCATTGCATAACATTCCACTTCTTTCCCTTAAAAAACTCTTTGATTGCTTTTGCAGTATTCTTTGGGTAATTGTCCATCTGCACTGTGAAGCGGCGTCCAATGAGTTCTGAAGCATTTGGCTGAATATGAGCAGATAATATTGCCCGAAACACTTCAGAATTCATCCTGCTGCTTTTGTCAGCAGTCACATCATCAATAAATACAAGAGAACCAGTTCCATTGGCAGCCATACATGCCCACGCCATGACACTACCATCACCATGCTTCACTGATGAGGTGGTATGCTTAGGATCATGAGCAGTTCCTTTCCTTCTCCATACTCTTCTCTTCCCATCACTCTGGTACAAGTTGATATTGGTCTCATCTGTCCATAGGATGTTGTTCCAGAACTGTGAAGGCTTTTTTAGATGTCATTTGGCAAACTCTAATCTGGCCTTCCTGTTTTTGAGGCTCACCAATGGTTTACATCTTGTGGTGAACCCTCTGTATTCACTCTGGTGAAGTCTTCTCTTGATTGTTGACTTTGACACACATACACCTACCTCCTGGAGAGTGTTCTTGATCTGGCCAACTGTTGTGAAGGGTGTTTTCTTCACCAGGGAAAGAATTCTTCGGTCATCCACCACAGTTGTTTTCCGTGTTCTTCCGGGTCTTTTGGTGTTGCTGAGCTAACCAGTGCGTTCCTTCTTTTTAAGAATGTTCCAAACAGTTGTTTTGGCCACGCCTAATGTTTTTGCTATCTCTCTGATGGGTTTGTTTTTTGTTTTTTCAGCCTAATGTCGGCTTGCTTCACTGATAGTGACAGCTCTTTGGATCTCATCTTGCGAGTTGACAGCAACAGATTCCAAATGCAAATAGCACACTTGAAATGAACTCTGGACCTTTTATCTGCTCATTGTAATTGGGATAGTGAGGGAATAACACACACCTGGCCATGGAATGGCTGAGAAGCCATTTGTCCCATTACTTTTGGTCCCTTAACAAGTGGGAGGCACATATGCAAACTGTTGTAATTCCTACACCGTTCACCTGATTTGGATGTAAATACCATCAAATTAAAGCTGACAGTCTGCACATCTTGTTCGTTTCATTTCAAATCCATTGTGGTGGTGTATAGAGCTAAAAATGTTAGAATTGTGTCGATCTCCCAATATTTATGGACCTGACTGTATACTCTGAAGGATATAGTACCTCCCTGTTGCTCAGCTTTGTAAGGCTGCCACCTGGTAATCAGTTCATACGTTCTCCACGTTCTACTGCTGATGCAGTTTATGGCCACAAGGTTCTTCCTGCAGCACTCTGAGTCATGTCTTTGCCCTTTTCTGTTTTGTTGAGTCATTGGTACAATTCTGATTCCTTGCTTGGGGACATCCCAAGATCTATAAATATCCAGCCTGTGTCCTGTACTGTACGATTAAGGTAAAATGAATTTTGACTTTCCTGTAAATTCCATTTATTGGAGTACAGTACAGAACACAGGCCACCCTCCCTCTGTTCCTGTTACTTTGTATGACTTGCTAAAAAAAAAACACAAAGAGGGGTAGGGTTATGGGGGAATGCTCAAAGGGGGCATATCCAAAAGCTTTGCTAGTGTCCATTTGCCTGAAAGTAGCAGCCTATAACCCATTGTCTATTAATATCCAGCCTGTGTCCTGTGCTGTAAGATATGAAATTAGTAAGTCAATTTATTTACATTCATTACCTTAAGATCATCTTCCATTTCCGTCATCCTGCGTTCCAAAACCCTCTTCTCCTGTAAAAGAAAAAAAAAGCTTTACTGTTTGCCTGTATACCAGTATTTAGGAAGGAAGAACATTGACCACTTACTCTCTTTTCAACCTCTAGCAGTCCAGCCTGACTTGAGGATTGGTCCTGTTTCTGAAATTCATATAAGGTGAACAAATGTGTAAGTTTGGTTATAAAGAAGGAAAAACTGCGATATGGATTTTTTTTTAAATGTGCATTTAAAAGCAGATACCCTTATACAATAAAGAGTCATATTTAATGCAAATTCTTCAGTACAGTAACCTATAGCAATAGGAAATAATGTTGTACCAGTCAAGCTTCAGCAAAGTGAATTCTTTTCTGTTTGCTACACAAAAGAACTCTATAAAAATTCTTAATTTAATAAGACAGTCTTAAGTTACACATGTAGGAAATGTTGACTGTAAAATTGTAATCTAAAGCTGATTAGGCCATGCATTTAGTCTTAAAATGCAGGTGTTCATCTATAAATCATGGCTTTAAATGATCAAGCCATGGAGTCAAACTTCAGAGTGTAAACAGAGCAATACAATTACACTGGCTTGGGTCTGTGGTGGCAACACTCGAAGTAGAAAGAAGGAAAAGGCAGAGATACGGTTTATTTGCAAAGTCTCTTGGTGTCCTTAGATCAAAATTTTTATGTGTGGGAGTTATTGTGTTTTTAAAATAAGGGTTTTCCTTTACAAATGGCTAAGTATTTCAATTGCATTCAAACCTCCACAGTGAATTGAACTAATCTGCTGTATTATTACACATTAAAGCCTTACTTTTCATTTTAAGGGTCCATGCGCACTGGGCTTTAAAAAAAAACACTAGTTCCCTTGGCAGAAAAAAACGCTCCTATAGAGCGTTTTTGTACAGGAGTTGAGGAACATTCAGTGTTTTTTGTTTTTTTTTTCTGGCAGAAAACTGCCCTCAAAAGCACAACACAGAAGGGTTTTTTTCTGTCTCTAAATGCTGAGCTTAAAATATGCCTCTAAACTTTCTAGTGTGCATGGACACATAGGATAACATTGAGATTCTTCTAAAAGGCAAAACTCGTCTAAAAGCAGGATTGTTTATGCCAGTGTGCATGGACCTTAACTGCTGTGAAGTGATCACTACCTTGAAGTTAATGTGACATTATCTTTAAGATTCATGGTGTGCTGGCAATATATGCATTGATTCACAGTGCTTTCAAACTAGGCTCACAGATGGCAATAGAAACATATGGAAGTTCTAACTCCTCCCTACTATCTATAACAAAATGGTTTGGCTTATATTGGGCTTTAGTTGTCAAGACATAACAGAGGCTTATCTCCAGTGAAAACTTGGAAACATATTGCCAGGTATATACCCAGGTCTTATGTGGTCTTCAGTCTGAAAGGAGTGAAATGACCACATTGGCAAAAGCCTAGGATGGTGGGCTATATTTTGTGGCCAAAAAATTTGGTATTGGCATAGTTATGCAGAGGGGTACAATATGGTAATCTGCTCTTAGTGTTCTTTCCAAATTTTCAGGTTTGATTCAGTGTTAAGTAACTGTATATGGTTTAATTTCAAATAATCAAGCATTGATGCTTTGCAGCTACCTGGCAAGTGTTAAAGACTTGTCACAAGGGTTTATTATAAAAGTTGTTCATTTGCAAATTGGAGTTACTTAACCTTCACAACTCTTTCCAGCTTGGCTTTGATATCTGCAAGCTCCAGCTGGGCTTCTCGGAGGTTGCTTTTCAACTTTTCATTTTCAGTGTAGGCGCTTTCATATAGCTAAACAAAGAAAACAAAAACTTTAATTTACTGTAAAAAGGATAGTGATCAACATATGTAGTTTAAACAACATTGCATAATAACAGGCTGTCAGCAAGCGCGACGGCGCATGGATCTGCGCATGCGCAAAACGCCAATGCGCTCTAATCAGCTGGCGCTAGGACCTGGGCGGCGGCGCGGATGCGCGCCCGGCACCAATGACGGCGCTGGGCGCCCTATTTAAACCAGCTCTGCATAGACACTAATTGCCATATGGTCTATTTATCCTGTTCCTGTGTATCTGCTGATTGACTTGTTGCCGACTCTGCTTGATCCTGACCTCTGCTGACCATCTCCTGCTCTGACCCCTGGCTCGTTTGACTACTCTCCTGGATATCCCTATTGATCTGAACTCCTGTTACCGAACCCGGCGAGTGACCTGACTATTCTTTGCCTGCTGCCTTGTACCTCGCTGACCCCACCGTTACCGAACCGGCCCATCTGACCACGCTTGCTACTCTGCTATCCATCTGTCCTGCACGGATCCGGTCATCACTGCTCAGACCTTTCCGCCTCTTCACGTCAGGCTCTCTATCGGTATATACCTCTGGCGGATCCCTCTACCACAGGCGGGTGTACTGTGGTAGAGGGATCAAGCAGACTGGGGCTTAGACTTTGCGCTTTGGGGAATCCTGTCCTGTGGATTGTTAGAGGCAATGTCAGGCGGTGTCTGACACAGGCTATCCTCCTATAGTAACACAGAATTTTTCTGTAGAGTCCATTTGAAGTTCAGCTTACTGTCATGTCTTGGCAAGGAATAAAGCTGTGGCTGGGCATGGTTTTAAATTCGGTTAGACTTTACCTGACCTAAAAGTTGAACACAATGAAATGTATGCCCCATGATCTGTAATTTAGCTACTCTGTGACCAGGTGCATGCAATGTTTATGCTAAGTAATACAGTTTATTTATGCATTTAATGATCTGCGGTATACAATTTTTTTTTTTTTTTTCTACCCATTTTTCGAAATACTGAGTTAAAAAAAATGTGTATTTTGATGGAGACTTACATTTTTCACAATCTTTCCTCTGCACTTGAGGTATAGAATAAATTAGAATTTTGACTGAGGAGAAGGAGGGTGATACCAACCAGAAAGATGACTGTCAAAGTGTTGACTGTATTTGCAGAGGCAGCATAAGAAAAACCATTTGGCGCCATGCATTTAAAACTGATAGGTGGGATTAACTAGGGGGTTCGCAGATGTGGAGGTGGATGGGTTACTGAATGCAGACTGTATAATCCGTATGTGGGATAAATGAGATAGTGAATAGTGACCTAGTAAGGAGAACCAGATGTTGAGAGAACTTGTAAAAGAGATAACTGAAAAATGGCAAAATAACGAACATAAAATAGCTCTAAAAGATACCTATTTCCAGCATGTTTTGTTTACATTTCAGCTGTCAGTGGGGGAATCCTGCTGACAGCTGAAATAATTGAGCCTGAAGGTATCAGTCTTTAGTATCGGTGCAAATGCTTTGTATCAGCGCAACCCTAGAGAATATATAATATCTTAATTGTACAGTATTATTATTATTATACAGTGTTTATATAGCGCCAAAGGGTTTGCTCAGCGCTGTACATTAGCGAGGGGGACAGAACATGAGACAATACAGTACAATACAATACACGAGGGGTTTGAGGGCCCTGCTCTTTCGAGCTTACAATATAGGAGGGAGGGGATAGTGGTACAGGAAGAAGTGGTTGTGGGGGATGGAGTGGTAGGAGTGGAGGAGATTGGTTGTTAGGTGAGGGTGGGGTAGGCTTCCCTGAAGAGATGGGTTTTCAGGGTGCACCTGAAGGTGAGGAGGGTAGGTGACAGTCTGATGGATTGGGGTAGGGAGTTCCAGAGGATGGGGGAAGTCCTGGAGAAGTACTGCAGTTGGGCGTGGAAGGAGGAGACCAGGGAGCTAGAGAGTAGGAGGTCTTGTGAGGAGCGAAGGGCACGGGTAGGGTGGTATTTGGGTATCCGGTCAGTGAGGTAGTTTTGGGCAGCGTTGTGAATGGCTTTGTATGTCAGAGTTAGTAATTTGAATTTAATGCGTTGGGCAATCGGGAGCCAGTGAAGGGAATGGCAGAGGGGGGTGGCAGATGTGGAGCGGTTGGTGAGGTGGATGAGTCTAGCCGCTGAGTTCAGGATAGACTGGAGTGGGGATAGCATTTGTTTGGGTAGGCCAGTGAGAAGGGAGTTGCAGTAGTTACAGTACAGGGTACATTCTCGATAATCAGAGACCCTGGGTTATAGTCTGTTAACTTTAGGTAATTTGAAACTGGAACATTTTTGCCGGACATGCCACCTGGGTGTATCTCTATATCCCTACCCCACTTGGTGAGACCTCATATTTTGCTAGTGTCCTTGGGTACTTGACCAATTCTCCCTTGAACAGAAATCATTCTAAGCTTGTCTAATTTTTTTTTATTTTGGATTCTTTAGATCAACTCCTCATTGACTTCAACTACAACAATAAAAGCAGTGTATCCAGATTGATGGAACCTCACTGAAACCATACCCACACCCTAGTCTGCATGAATGACTTGTAATGTTGCTCCGGAAACTGAATCATACTTGATCACTCACTTTGGCACGAAGTGCAATGTGTGAAGTTAGTTGCAGGATGCTAAACAGGTCCAGGGTCATTGTCCATTGTGCTGGGTGAAGCCTGAACTCTAAATTGGGGTAATACGCAGGATCACCCTTCTCAGACTGATACTGTAGCCTTACAGCTAGTATGAGATACAATAACTCTATATCTTGTGTTACACTCTTTCAGGGGAGCTCAAAATGGCACCAACAACAGTTTTCTGACTGTATCAGTTGGTTCTTAACTGCTGCTTTTAGAAACTATTGCTGTGGTAGTGATACATTTTCAAAGAATTACCGCCAGTGCTCCATTTAGGAAAGCGGTGGTAATTAAAGCAAATTCTGATCTGGCATACAGAGGTATGCCAGTACTCGGAGAGGTCTGTGCTGGTTCTGGGAAGCTGCCATAACTGTGACAGCTTCCAGCACAGTGCTGTATCCTCTGCCTCAATTACCTGGCAGCTAAATATAAGCAAAGGGGTCAGGGATACAGTTGATGTCATTACCTAAATATGGGCAATGGCTTGTCATTGGATGAGTAGAGCCTGATGTGGATCTAAGAGACTAGTTCCCTATCAGGTCTGCTACACTTCTGAATGGCCATGCACAGCAGTTGTTAGATTTGAAAGCTACTATTTGACTGAATAACAGCTATGGATCTGCCCACTGCTGTGCGCTGTCAATCAAAAGTGGAGCAGAACTAAAGGGAAATAGTCAGTCTGTCAGTTCCCTGTCAGATTTCACCCACACCTAGCATAAAACTCTTGTGCCACATTTGGCACCTTTTTGGGGGGATGGTGGAGTGGGTACCTATTTTTGACAGGTACCTGCTGCCACTTCTGGCGTTATCAAGGAGGACCCCCAGATTCCCCCCCCAAGGGGATCCTTCCCCTATGTGAATGAGTACTCATTCACCAAAAAAGTGTAAAAGGTGAATAAACAACCTTTAGCCTTTATTAAAAATTTAAAAGGAAAAAAAAAAAAAAGTTCCTTTCCTGACGAAGGCACCCACTGTGTGTCAGCTCCGCCATCTGACAGCTCTTAAATAAGCCAAGGGTCGAGCCACCCAGTGATGTCATTGGGTGACTCCGCCCCGTCGTGACATAATCAACCCATCATTCCCCAGTTGATGTCACAAAGAGGCAGGGTCACCTAGTGACATCACTGGTTGACTCCACCCTTTGGCTTATTTAAGAGCTATAAGCCTTCAGGTCAGCGGAGACCGCATTCATCGTGATGTTGAATCTACTTCGAGGGACCCTTTTTTTTTTTTTTTTTTCTTTTAACTTAAAAGGACTTGTTAAAAACTGTTGTTGTGCTTTTATTCCCAGGCCCAGCGTTGTGGGGAAGAGGCTATTGTCCTCATCAACATAAAAACAAGGTGCTTTGGGGGCAGTTCCCCTGCCTCAAAGCACCCCCCCCATGTTAAGGGCACGTGGCCTGGTATGGTTCAGGGGATGCTCACTCGTGTCCCCCCCCCCCCTTTTCCTGACCTGTCTGCATGCCCGGATAAGTGTCTGGTTTGGATTGTGGTGGAACCCCACACAGTTTTGTTTTTTTGGCGTGGGGTTCCCTTAAATTCCATACTAGACCTGAAGAGCCGAAAATGCACTGACATCCGCATAAGTGTGAACCTTGCGTAATATAGCATTTACAAATGCTCTCCTACACCTTACTCTTTTATTGTTCATGCCATAGAACACGTTACATCACAAATTTCCAAAATGGCCCTCAATTCTGTCCATATGCATAGAAAATTTTGTCTGAAAGCCAAGTTAGCGGAAGCTGCTTGAAAATGATGCCTCACTTATATGCCCTTTGAAGGAGGATGTCTGTTTGGTGAGGCACTTAACAAATACATCATATACTGTGTGTTGCAAGAGTAAAGGTCCTTCTTCCACACTGGAAGGCTCTAAACCCCCCTCCTCATGGGCTTCTACATACTTCCATTTTCCATCTATAAAGTCAAATCTCAGCCCTACCTTTTGGCACAAGACTAAACACAAAATTCACCAAGTCTACCCTAAAGACTTCTGCTAACAACCAAGGCAAAAACAGATGCAAAAAACAAACATCATTCGTTTACATCTGTTTACTTCTGTTCAGGTCAGTTTAAATTGTACAGAATGGAGAATTGTTCTATTTAAAAAATAAGAGACCTGAACAGGCATGGATGTAAATGGGTTATCTGTTTACACATAGAAATTAACTGCTGTCCATTATAATAGATGCCAGTCTTTTGAGCTGACGAGGAGGCTTCCAGTACCTTGTTGTGCAGTGAATATAGTCACCTGGAGAAACCAAGCTCCCCATTAACATTTTGGAGCTCAGAGGAAAAAAAAAAAAAGATGGTCATGCAATATGCCCTTCTACAAAGACACACC